GCCTCACTCCCAAGGTGCACACTTACCACAAAATTAATTTTCAGTGCTGAGCCTTTGGAGCCATTCTGACTTTCTGAACTTTTCCTCTAACTTTAGACAGGTTTCCCTGCAGATGGATTGAATGACAAAGTCTTGGCCTACCACTAACAAGAACCCACAGAACCTTTTTCTTCTCTTTTCTGCATCCTCTGGCATCCCACAATTAGTTTTCAACAAAAATAAACAGAATTACAGGAAGACCCTGCAGGAGAGAACAGGCAGCACAAAGGCCTCTGCAGACACCACCAGAGCTGGAAGTCCTTGACTCCTGCTGCCACTTGATTCTGTATGAGCCAGAAACGTGAGCTGTGCACAGCCAGGAGGACATTTTAATTTTCTTATCTGGCCCATTGCTTTGCACCTTCACCTCTGAAATCAGGAGGTGGTGTGTTATGTACATTGCAATGAGATTTGGGCACTTGCCCAGTGATAGCATTGTACTGATGAATGATGAGAAAGGCACTTATATTTGAAAAAGGTGCTGAGGAATGCATGGCACACTTCAGAGAACAATTGTCTGGTGTCACTCCTCCTCTCAAAACAGCTTAAAACTTGCTTAAAATGCTGATCAAACTGGATGACGTAGAGATGTAAAATAAATGCTGCTACAAAATTTGAAATCTTAAGTGTGAAGATTTGAAAATAATTGAACATAAATCTACACATATATACACAAATATCCGTATGCATCTTGAAATGGAAATTTACAGATATATATATATACACACACAGATATCAATAGAAGGGGAATCAAGAAATAGCAGTATTACAGTCTGAAAGAAAAGGCTATGGAGTGGTCCTAGTATGTATTATTTTTTCTATTTTATTTCCACTCCCCACCAAGCCCCTGACAGCTAAACTAAATAGTTAATCAAATGAGATCAAAACAGGTAATGCCACCCCTGTTGGGAGTTCTGCAACAGAACTGTATCAGTCGGCTTTATCCCCTCTGGAGAGGGAAGTTTCATCTCCTGTGGACTGTCTGATGGCCCTTAGCTTGCCATGCTAACAGCTCCTCCAACAGGGGACAACTGCTTTTCTGTGATCTAAGCAAAGCTGAATGTACTGCATGAAACACAGTAAATAAAACTCTGTGTAGGGTCAGCTCAGGAAAGACCTTTTCTATACACGGCACAGAGAAAAGAGGATCATCCCCCAGGTTCACACAGCTCATCTGCAATGCAGAAATCACCAAAGGAGTCTGTCCCTCCAGCGTGTGTTACAGAACACACCAAAATGTTGTTACTGTCTGTTACTGCCTTGCTCCTTCTCTTAGTACGTGCCCTATCCTGGAAGTGTTCATGGTCAGCTTGGGTGAGGCTCTGAGCAACCTGGTCTAATCAAAGGGTTCTCTGCCCATGGCAGGGGAGGGGTGGAATTGGATGATGTTTAAGGTCCCTTCCAACCCAACCCATTCTGTGATGATTCTATGATTTGTATTTCTCTAAAATTCTTGACTGTCTGCACTTCCTTAGTCAAACTGACTGGTGCACACACAAGTTTTGGTAGCCCACTGATCATTCCCCATACCAGGCCACTTTGATCTTTAAGAAAGGGGATGAACCCCCATCCTGGCTGTTTTGTCTATTGACATTATCTGATGGGAGAGAGGGAGGCATTGATTGTCTATAGCTATTTCTAAATTATCTATTACTGTGGACTCCTAATCTTGCTTGAAGGCCATCAGTGTGATCACACAACAAATATGAAATAATTAAACAAACTGTCAGTAGTATTGCTCGTTTAGCCAACACAATTATATATGTCTGAGGCTGTATGCCACTGACAGAGAACCACAGTGCTGCTGTGTTTTTCTCCCCACACTTAGATGTGTAGTTCACAGTCTTTTTAAATAAGACAACTCAAAATGATGGATAAAGAGATGGAATAATAGATTTCATAGCTATCTCCACCTCTCCAACTAGCTTGGCAAAAAGAACCCTACCAAAATAAACAGGAAAAGACTGCTTGGCTAACACACATATGCTAACAGATTTTTATTATTATTTTTAAAAACTTATTCTCAGTGTTAAATAAACTGTGGAAAAAAGGATTTGATTCATGGTTGCATTAGGAATCTACTCAACCAAAGCCCCTTGTCACAAATTAAATCATAAACTAAAAGTCAAACATGATTTGTGAAATTAACAGTTATCGAGGAAATGTTCCCCAGTGCTGCATTGTGATTAGTCTCTGGCTTCTGAAATATCACCCATAATTCATGAGCTTCTCTGAAACCATGCCACTACTGCTAGTCCTGGGATGCCATGCATGATGGAAAGGTGCTGCCACAGCCAGAGAGCAATCCCTTTCCCGATGCTGGTGAGAACCAGAGGTCGCTGTGTCTTATTTGGGAAGGTACATGCATACACACTTCTTAGTCCCCATGCACTTCTTTAACACCTCACCCCTCCACAGGCACTCTCTTCCACCTCTCAGATTTATCAAAGGCCACAGCTGTTTCTAATTTTGAACACAGAGGCTTGGCAGAAGCCCTTTCTTTAAAAAAGCCTTTCTTTAATATAGCGACTAATAAAAAATGAAACTTAATTAACAGTCATTGGTTCTTTCAGAGTCAGTGTCTTTCAGCAGAGGGATTCAGTGCCTTTGCAGGGGGATGCAGACAGCTTAATCTTACATGCAGTGGAGATCCAGCACAAAGCAGATTTAGTGATTGTTGAAGACTAAATGGTCATTGGCAAAGCACGTTTTGGAGCCCAATGTTTTTCAGAAGCCAGGATATCCCGATAGCTTAAAGATATGGGATGCTTTCCTTTTCAAGGTGATTTTCATCCTGAAGATGTTTTCCTGCCAATAAATGCAGTATTTTTAGAAAAATAATAGTGTAACCCCATTCCCACTGCTCTGAGCACCAGATATTTTTCATAGGGAGCAAAATAGCCCCCAAGTCTTATGGGGGTAAAGAAGGAAAGCTCAGTTTCTGGCTTCACAGGCATTCAGGGCAAGAAAAAAGCTTCAGCACCTCTACAGCCCATCCCCTTTTGGCCTTTCTTCTCCATGTATTCTTACACTGTCACCACTGCCACCATCAGCTGTTTACTCTGTTCATGCAAGAGTGTACTTGTGTGTGTATACCTAGGGTTACACAACACAAAAACCAACATCACAAAGAAGAACATTCCCTGTCTTTTAATCAAAATCCCCTTTAACCTGAATACAGAGAAAATGTCCTCTGCATCCATTTTCAGGATTAAAGGAGAACATACTCCCTGTGAAGCCTGATTTCCCTTTGCTGCCCGTCTGCACACAGAGCAGGCTGTGTTAGATCTGGGCCTCTGTCCTCATCGGCAGCAAACGGGGCTTCATGGAGCCATGACCATTTATGCCACTGAGGACAGAGCATTCAGCATGCAGGTCTGAAAACATCTGAGCCAGCCTCCACCCAGTGCCTGCACAAGCTCTTTCTGGCAACTGCATTCCACCACGGATGGCAGGCTCTGCCCCAAAGGAGAAGGGGGAATCCAAAGGAAATTACTGCCTGCTCTACTAAGCTAACCCTTAGGCAGAGAGGCCTCGCTTCTCAGAACAGGAATTCATTGCTCCAGTAACAAGACTGGATGAATAGTCCATGAGGGACTGTTACCTCCATTCAACACACTTTCTTTGGATAAACAGTCATTCCCTTCTTGTGTTGAGACACTAAAAAGAGGTCACTGGTGGATGGTGGCTTTTAAAAACTGTTTAATCTTTTTTAACCACTCTCTTCTATGTGTAATAACCTGTTTAAAAGCTGGAAATAACAGAGTTCCCTACTGGGTCACCCTTTTCTATTTGGAGAACATTGATTTTTTTGCTGTTGTGCCAAGATTAATGTGGCCTGTTTGTCTGACAACAGATACAACATATTTAGTGCCCCAAATCAAGCTAAAGTGATTGTCTGAGGACAACATCCCTCTCTGGCACTGGTAATGATCTGGAGTAAAAAAATGGTCTTAAAAAAACAAAACAAAACAAAACAAAACTTTGTTACATAACTGTCACTGCAGAACCATCAGGGGATGGTTAAAACCAAAATCTGTTGCTGATGGGACAAATTTGAAGCACTTTTAGTGACCGTTGAAGGTTTCAACTGGCAAAAACTGTTAGACAAAGGAAGTTTTCCAAATTATCCACTCTAAGTCTTTTAAAGCTTTGATTCAAAATGGTTCCAGATCTTACAGGTACAAACCTTCTCTCTTGTTATTTTAGAGAAAATATTGTTTTGTCCACTTTCTTCTATTTAAGTAGGAAAAGAAACAGCATGTAAGTTTCTTATAAGTAAAGGATCACTCCAAGAAAGACATTGAAGTGCTGGAGAATGTCCAGTGAAGGACAATGAAGGGTCTAGGGCACAAGTCCTGTGAGGAGTGGCTGAAGGAGTTGGTATGTTTGGCCTGGAGAAAAGCAGGCTCAGGGGGAATCTTACCACTCTCCACAACTTGCTGAAAGAAGGCTGTATCCAGGTCGGGATCAGTCTCCTGTCCCAGTTAAAAAGTGACAGGATGAGAGGAAATGGCCATAAATCGCACCAGGGAAGGTCTGGATTGGATATTAGGAGCAAATTCTTCACTGAAAGGGGTGGTCAGGCATTGAAACAGGCTGTCCAGGGAAGTGGTGGAATCATCGTTCCTGGAAGTGCTCCAAAAACATGTGGATGTGTCCCCTGGGGGCATGATTTAATGGTGAATATGGCAGCAGTAGGTTAATGGTTGGACAATGATAAATTTTCCAACCTTTATGATTCTATTAAAGTACAGAGAAGAATGTGAGAAAAGCCAGGGAAATAATGAGTGTTCATTCCTCATCCAAATACCAAATATCACCAGCAGTGGGTGAAAACACACCTGTTCCATTCTTTCAGAAACATTACCAAGTTCCAAAACCCTGATCTCCCTCCCTTTCACCCTCCCATTCTTCCTCCTTCCCTTCCCCTTCCTCTGGCAAAAGCCAGTAATACCTACAAATATTTTTTATTTTCGTAAACATCATGCAGCTTTAAAACATGGGGATGTTCTATCAACTTCAGGATGGCTATTTCCCGCTCCACCTGGAAGAAACAAAAAGAAAAAGAGAAGATTAGAAGCTTGGTCTTAGAATACTTTAGGTATTATCACACATTTTCTTCCCATTTATCCATTTTCGACTCCTCTTCATATGCAGAGGATACACAGAATTGTAACAATGTATCTTATTTAGCATGACATAATTTAACAAAAATTCAATTTATTTGGCCTCAGCACTCCCTGCCCTGCAGAACAGAAACCAGCAGAATTTCAAGGTTGAAAGAAAAGTCCCAAATCTACCAAAGAAAATTATCTGTGGAAGTTTCATGAGCATTCAAGGCCTCACAATCCAAAGCCAATGACATATTGTCAAAGTACAGAAACCCTTAACATGTCACGTAGGGCTCTCCTGACCTCCCACAGCCACAGGTGTGTGGCTGCTCTATAAGCTGCATATTCAATTAGTGTTAGAAAATCCCCATTCTGAAGAACTTGCCATGTGGGGGAGAAGATATAAAGCAGTGTGATTTTGTAGCTCCAGAACTGAGGCACATAAAGGGAAAGAAATATAAGAAGTGACATAAGAAGTACAAGGCACAACAAGAAATTAAACCAGATTACTGGAGATGCAGTGTTCAGAGCCTTAAGAGCAAGACTGTGCTTTCCCTCAATTCCCAGTCTGCCCAAGTGTGGCTACTTCCAAGAGCACGTTTTCAATGCTGAATTAACAAGTTGTGACTAAGTCCCTGTAATTAGCACAAGCCCTGTTCTCACCCAAAATTCCTATCATGACCACTAAGGGTGTTCATTAGAGATGGAGTCAGTGCAATTCCTCAGCTGTTAGCAAAATTGCTCTGCTGCTTGAAACTACTCTGTAACTGCTGTGATATGACCTAGGCTAAGTCGAAGGGAGTTAATGTAGCACCGTGGAGACTTTGGATATGTGAAATAAACTCTGCAACAAGATGCGGTCTAAGCATTGCACAGTCGGGCATGCCAAATTTCAAGGAATCCACAAAGGCAGGAAAAAGACCTAAAGAAGCAAACAAGGACAACCAGGTAGGATTTTTTCCAGTCCTTTAAATAACCAATTGTCCCAGAGCTGCTATACTGACAAACAAACCATGAACAAACTACAAAACCATCCCTTAATGCCTCCCTTGGAGGGATCAGATGCGTAATTAGGAACTTGCCCCAGTGCACCTTTAGTTCTTGATGTCCTTTAATTTCCTGAGAGAACGTCCTCTGCTAAGCCTCAACATGGACAACTTTACCTGAATGCAAGTAAGATACTCTGCAGGAAATTAGAAATTGGTAGTTTGCAGCACTGTGCAGGAGAGGATTTCCCAGCATGTTGGTTATCACCCCAGATCTCTCTTCCTCTACAGTACCACATAAAAACAGCAAAAGCAACTTTTGCAATACATCATCCTTAGCCTTCCTCACATACCAGGAAGGAAGAAAGTATATTTGTACATCTGCCAATCTCAGTCTTTCAAAGACACTTATTCCCCTCTCCAGAGTCAAAAGTCATCTGAGAGATTCCACTTCCACACTTGGGAACTCTGAAAATAGCTCCTTCAGAGAAGTGGGGAATGCATTTAAACATGTATGTATGCAGTTCAGCACTGCCAGCACTGCTAGGAATTCAGTGATATAAGTGCTTGATGGTGACAACTCTGTGGGTGTTAACTTACTCATGACCAGCACTCTGATGAAAGCTACTTATACAAACAGGAAACAAAAGCTGTGTAGATTTCAACTGTTCAGCTATTTCACCACAGATCCAGGGGGTAGCTAGTTTATTCCATTTTTGCCTCCTCTTCAAGACCTGTTACTCTTCTTTCTTACAAGATATGCACTAATACTTGCAGAGAGCTTGTTAAGCCCTATAATTGATAAAAGTTGGATTTGCTTCAAAAATTAGGAAAAACAAAACAGAAGAAGCACCCACTCTCACAACACTCTCCCAATAGTACTGAGATTCACCATAAGCAACATGTACTGCAGCTGCTCAGAAACTGCAACTCCAATGAAGGTCCTTTTGGATGGGGAAGAACAGGTATTTCATGTGGAATGTGACCAGTGTATTAGCTATGGCAAGGATAATCCAACCACAGCCTATGAAAACTAAAACTCCCTGCAGCTGGACTGTATAGCTGCATTGGCGATTCCTTCCAAGAAACCTCCTGGCTGGTTCAGTGGCAATGTAAATTCAGATCAAGTGAGTGATGGATGGCAGCATCCAGTAAGGGTCCTGCTTGGTTACTGTCTTAAAATATGAGAAGTGGCAGTGACTACCACTTGGAGGAGGGAATTCAGCTACAGCACTGAGAGGCCTATGTTTGGCAACAGAAAATCACAATAGAAAGACAGTATCTACTTATCACCTACAGATTTATTTTAGGAACCAACTGAAAAGACTTAACCCAAGTTGCTTTTCTTCCATCACAAGTGTAAGAGTGTAGAAGGTTCTATTTTTAAATTCCTGGGAACTAAATCTAAGAGGAAATACAGTTTTGGAGGTCTCAATTTCAAGCCAGGTATGTAGAGAGCATCTGTCTTGATGTGCCTAGCAGCATTTGACTGCAGTGTGTTCAGTTCAGTGGTGTGTTGTCTGCGCCAGTCAGCTTTCCACAGTCTGCTACCTCTTCTATCTGTAAACCAAGGACAAAACTGATCTACTCATCTCAAGTAAGGCTTTCAAGTAATGCCCTTCAGTGAAAGGGCATTTATAAAGGAAAAATGTCATTACTGTACTTCTTGTAGTCCAGGATTTTGCCTCATGTAGAGGCACAAGACACTAGTGGTTATATTATTTTAGGATCTAGAGATTCCCAGTTCTATAAACAGCAATCTGATAAAGCTCATCCTCAAAAAATCTTACAGCAGTATCCTGCCTCTTTTTCCTTTTAAAGCAAAACAAGAGTTCAGAGAAATATGCAACAGATCACCTTCTCAGAATTACTACTACAGTCAGTACTAATGGGTGACTCCCCTGGAACCTGTTAATTTTTTATATCCCTGCAAAGAAGCCAGTAATTGATACGGGTTGGACACAGACTGGAGATCTCAATAGTGATGTCACTGATGCACGGCTCAGGAGGATCTAGCAGCCATCATGTCACGAGGAAAGGAGAGGTATCTGAACTCGGTGGCAAAATGAGAGGCCTGAAATAGCATGCAGCTTTGCCTTCTTCCCCAGAGCTTTGCTAGCCCCTGGCCTGTCTTTTTTGCGCAGCCCTGTGTTTGCAAGCCATGGAATGCTGTCCAGCTCTGAGCTGGCAAGGACAGGAGAGAGGAGAAACCCTGCAGGGGTGTTTGCTTTAATGCACATGCAATTATCAGAAAGCAGGGCAAGCTCAGAATAGCTTGTCTAGGGAGGCTCAGAGCCTGTGATAAACAGGAAGCATGGAGAAACATTTGCCTAATGGTTAAAAGAGAAAGGAATAAAGCAAAGTTTTTCTGTTGCATGAACACTGGGTCACATCACAGGATCCCAACTACAGCCAGGGTTGCCCCATGCCATGGTGGGCCACTGACTGTGCCTTGAAACTGAGAGAAAAAGCTGTGAAAGGCTGTGCAGGGCAAAAGGAGACACACTGGAAACATGTAGCTGTGCAGGTGCCATGCAGGTGCCAATTAGAGGTTCTAAAAATCTGTGCAGGAGGTTGATTTGACAGGATGCTCCAGTGATTCAGCTAATGACAAAGTGCAACACGGGGGCACAATGCGACCCTTAGAGGAATCATGCAGTACTTTACGTCCCTCTCCTCCATCTCTACTTCACTGTCATTCTCCCCCAGAGGAAATCGCATCTCTCTGCTTTAAGCCCATCTTGTCAGAAAATTTGCACTGGCAACAAGTGCTCTGCTCTCTTGCCTTTTGAGTCAGGCACACAGGGTGTTAATTCACTTTGAAGGCAAGGAGGGCAGGTCAGGGGAGCCTGATAGTTTGTCTCAGAGAAGAAGGAAGTTTCCTTTTCTCTTGCATTCATTAGGTCAGTAACTATTGGGTCACTCATGACCCATCTGCTCCTTGAAAAATGAAGGCTCACAGCTGTCTGATATTGCCAGGATGTATTTTATCTACCAAACCTATGCAAGCACTATGCAAAAACCATTCCTAGCAGCTTCTCAAAGTACACCTTCATGAAAAGAGCTGGGGGACAGCAGTTGACATTTCTCCTTGGAAGCTATGAAGCTCACCAGCAGCACACCAGAAAGCCCTCTCTTTCTCCATTAGAATCAGTAGCTCCTATATGGCTCAAAACACTGGCTTGAGAAGGAATTCCAGAGCTGCAGAAATGCTGAAGGGCAGCAAAGCCCTGCAGGATGCACACTTGTTAAGCTGTTTTCCCTACTCACAGAGCAAAATGGTGCAGGGAGAGAAGGCATGGTAGGTTTTCTAGTGAAAATCAAGCTCTCTCTAATGTTGACCCTACTTTGAGGTAAGTAATCAAATACTTTTCAGAACTCATGCCTGTCCCTCAGTTATGAGAAACTCATCCAGGACATGACCTTTTCGGAATTCAGAATTCTCTACGCTCAGAATGAACTTCAAAGGATGCAGAGATTTGGCTGCTTATCCAACTCCTCAGGCTAGAACTCAGGTTGGAAACCTTGTACCAGAGCACCTACTTTCTCCAATGTCTGGCCTGCTATGCAGTAATTTGCATTTCCATGATGAGGGCACAGAAAGCAGAGTAAATCACTCTGGTATTTCACTGAGTTGAAGTGGCAAAACCAAAGGCATCTTATAGGAAGAAACTAATATTAGGTTCTCTGAAAATCTGTGTTCCTGCCATAGCAGAAATATCACAGCAAAATACCTGGGGTTTTATTAATTTGGTACTTATGCTTTCATGTTATGTGGGACTGAGAGTTAAAAATGGTGAAAATGCCCGGCTTTGGTGAAGACTGTATAGGTCACTTGTTCGCTCTTGCCCATAATGACAGAAATAGGCTACTCCTGAGATCAGAAGAGAACAGCATTAAAGCAGAAATGGCTTTATACAACAAGTAACTGCAGGCCCATTATGCCC